AAATTACCCTCCAGGGATTAACCTTCACCATCCTTTTAATTTTCTATCATTTTTCTTTTATATTTTTCTTAAGTTCTTTTATTCCTCATCATTTTTCTCTTCCGTCTCATCTCGGATTTTGGTCTTTAAGACCTTCACTAAAATTGAGAGAGATCGACTTTTAAGGTAAACTTAGATTTTAAACTTTCAATTGAGGCTCGGGTATTACAAATTCTCCCCTCCTTAAAAACTTTCGTCCTCGAAAGTTGCCATCTCTTGGAAGAACTTGGGATAGACATTTCTCATATCTCTTCACGATCCCAGTTGCCTCTTCATCACAATGGGTATACCATGAGACTTTTACTAAGTGAACCACTTTGTTGCACAAGCACCTAGTGTCACGGTCTGACACAATAGAGACTGGCACCTCCTCAGGCATACTAACTCTTGATATACAATAGATCATATCGATCTACTAGATATGTAGTCTCGCCTGGAATGAAGTAAGCTATTTTGGTTGGTCTGTCCCCAACTACCCGGATATTGTTAAAACTCTGTTGTGTTCTTGACAATCTCGAGATACATTTATGTAGCCATATCCCTTTTTAAAACAACACGAGAAGCATCCATCTCTGAACCCTTGACCTCCGTACTTACATTTTCTCCTAATCCTGCACAACATTTCAACACATAAACTCTAAAGCTATAATTGGTATAATTGGTAACCTTGCTCAAGTACGGCCTTTTTTTTTTTTCTTTCTTTCTTTCTTTCTTTCTTTCCTTAATAACATATTTTCCTTTATAGTCCAAAAGCATTCTATGTCCCTGCTCCAGAATTCAAAATCCATTATATAATGGCACAAGAAACATTATCACAGGAATAATGACCTTCGTTTAAATTTGAAGTTAGACCGGCTTTTACCTTTTTACAAGTTTGATTTTGAGAATAAAAGACCCAACATTTCATAGCACCCATGAACGCTAAGCGAGCGTGCCATGGAGGGCTAGTTTGTCCATGAAAGGTCCCTTCATGCCCACTGGAATGAATCCCAAGTCATTTGTTGATATCACTCCAGCTGGGAATGGTGACCCTGTAATGAAATT